CCCGTTAGTTATCCAAGCCCTATCATCTAGCTAATCTATCTCCTTTCAAAATACTTTTGCATCAATCTACCTTTAAAAACGACTAGTCCCTTTTCGAAATTTCTTTTTGAAATACGTTGGAAATAAGTAGCTAATTTTTCAAATATTCTCGAAACGAAGTTGCCTTGATCGGTGCCCCTCTTATGATTCACAAATGGACTGCTTTATTTTTCTCTGTTTTTTTATGTTTAACCTCCAATCCTTTTGTTCGAATTTCCTTTTTAAGCACTGATTCGGGAAGAGAATTCAACCCTGTACTACAAGACCCCGTATTGGCTATACATCCTCCTTGTATTTATGCAGGATACGTTGCCAGTACTATTGGTTTTTGTTTATGTGTATCCGAAACTCAACAAAATACTTCCTCTCTAAAAATTCTTTACAATTTAAAGCTTCCCTTTTTCGAAATTTCACGATCGAAATTATTAATTTTTTTTTAGAAATTATTTCTTTTTCAAAATTACTTTTGTACTATTTTTGAAAATACGTCCCAATTAATTCGTTAGTTCCACAAAATCTTTAGAATTAAATCACCCTTTTCACAAATTTCTTTGAAAATCTTTTCCATTTGAAATTTTCCTTCTGAACTTCCCTTTTGCATTAACTAATTTGTTCTTTCTCAAAATTTTTGTAATGAACCCAGTCTGGCCAGTACTCAGAAGTCGTCAAACATCAATAGTCTCGTTATCGGGATCACAGTCTCCAGATCATGTGATAATACAAACAGTATCTCATTATCACCAAGAGAAGAGAGTGGAGGGAGAACAGACAAAGGAGAAGATGAAAGATCAATAATAACCCCTGCAAATCCCTCTTCTTCTCCGGGCTTCCTCCCACTTCCCAACAACAGTGATAACAAGTATATTCCTGATCACCTACAATAGTGCCACGTGGCACTCAATCTCGTGAAGACCGTGAAGACAAAAAGGATTCCAATGCCGACGTCAACTGCAGGTGAGTACCCGACTTCCTTCTTCCACAGATCCCGATCTCCTCCTCCTCACAACCAGTCACCTCATGTAGACAGTGTGGCAATGCCACATCAGCAGATGAGACATGTGGCATATGCCACATCATCAATGAAGACCAATAACATCGCCGCGTAGACCAGGAGCAGCGCCACATATACCAGAGGCAGCGCCACGTCAGCATGCCACGTAGACAATAGGCAGCGCCACATATACCAGAGGCAACGCCACGTCAGCATGCCAGGGGACCAGAGGCAGCGCCACATACACCAGAGGCAGCGCCACGTCGACATGCCACATAGACAATAGGCAGCGCCACATATACCAGAGGCAGCGCCACATCAGCATGCCATGTAGACCATAGGCAGCGCAACATATACCAGAGGCAGCACCACGTCAGCATGCCATGTTTGCACGCCTGGCGTACAATGCCAGCGTACTGCCTCTCTCGGTCGTCGTCCGCAGCTCCGATGCACAGCCAGCGTCTAGCCAGCGTCGCGCTAGCAGGATGCCAGCGTCAAGTCAAAGTCCAGCCAGCATTGAATCAGCATAGCAAGACTGAATGCTGACCACCTCGAAGCCAGTCTTTAAGTAGTGTTTGTCGAGGCTCTCTGGCCTCGGGTCTCCTTCCCTCAGTCGTCCAGATTGAGTAACAGCCGAAGGCCTGGATCGTACAGTTGCAGACTTTCCCGTTGGACCTTATGCTGTCTGACAAGTGTGTGTGCCTGACCGGCAGCCTGGAGTGGGTACTTCGGACTTTGACTGCTGAGGTCAAGGCAGTTGACATAAGACAACTGTCTCACGTCCAGGCCCTGAATGTTCGTGTGGGGTCTTTACCCCTGTTTTGGCCTGGGCTGAGGGCGGCCGAGTTGGCCCTCAGTCTTTCCACGAGACATATGGCATGGGTTATTGCATTTTGAATTTAAAAATACTTCTGAACTCGTTCCTTCTTTTCGAAATTTCTTTGAAATATATTGAAATTAACTAGGCTACCAGCCGGGCCGCCCGGGTCCCGGGTGGCCAGCCCGTGCAAGGATCAAGGAAGGTCCCAGCAAAAAAAAAAAAAAAAAAAAAAAAANAAAAAAAAAAAAAAAAAAAATCCAAAAAATCCGAAAACAAACTATGTTATGCAGAAAAATAAACTGAACAACTTTTGCCTCAGGGTTACATCGAAATTCTTCACCAAATTTAAAATAAAAAAATAAATTTTAAAAATATTTTTTTTATTTTTATTTGTTTGGCCTGGCCGGGCAAGTGACCCCGGGCCACTCTGGTAGCCTTTCTTTTTCTTTTTCAAAATTTCTTGAATACTTTAGAATTAATTCATCTCTTTTTGGAATATTCTTTGAAGAAAAGTCTCATTATACGATACGAGAGTAATTGACTATTTGAGTAATTAAATGACAAACAAGATATACAAACTCTAAAGAATCATCATTCACAGGGATGGGATAATGAATTCTTTGTTGTAATTTGCTTGGAATATCTGAATCTATCAAACACACAATCGGTATATGTAATTGACTATCTTCAAGTATGGCCACGGAAGCCTCATCGTTATCCTTTTTAGCAGAATCAAAAGAAGAAAAAAGAATACGAGGCCATCTGTTAATATCCTGGTATCTTAGGCGTAGTGGAACCACACCAATCCATCCCGAACTTGGTTGAACTTTGAAATTAATTACTTATTTTCACCAAATTGTCTCAAAACTTCTTTTCTCCGCCGACATTTCTTTAAATTCACGTTCGGAATTAATCCCTTCCTTTGGAATTAATTATTATTTTTCCAAAATTTGAACGAAAATTTCTAAAATTCCACCTCCTAATTCTTTTTCTATAATTCGAAGATATTCCAAAATTTCACATAAATAAATTTTGAAATAAATTCAAATTTATTTTCTACCAATATTTTGAACAACGAGTTTTGTAAATCTCTTCTTCGGATCCTTCAAAATTCTGTTCTCCCGAAATTAATTTCGAATAAATAAAATTCCAATCGGAATAAATTTATTTATTCCTAGGTTACCAATGGTCCGGGGGCCGGTCGTCTCCCCCGGACCTCTCCCCCATACGTCCGGTACCCCCGTCGTCCAGGAAAAAAAGTTTTTTTTTCGTAAAAAAATAAATAAATAAATAAAAAATCGGTTTTCGATTTTCAACTCATGATTGACTGCGAATTTGAACATGACTCCAAGGCAAAAGTTGCTTGTATTGTTATGTTACATAACATATATCTTTTTCAGATTTTTCTGAGAATTTTTTTTTTTTTTTTTTTTTTTTTTGCGGTAGGTCGGACAACCCCTGTCCGGTCGGACATCCGACCAGACGTCCGGTCGGACATCCCGGACGGTTAGGGGGGTCCCGGACGTCCGATCCAACAACCTAGATTTATTCAATATTAATTCCCTACTTTCCATTAAAATAAATAAATAAATAAAAATGGCAATTATCTTTATTTTTGAATTTATTGATAAATAAATAAGGGATTGCCCCCCCCCCCCCTTCCACATGCCACCACGCCAAACCAAGGACTCCCAACATGCCGCCGCCGACGCCACCGTTGCTGCCGCCGCCACCGCTGCTGCTGCATCCTCCACACCCGTTCAGGCCACGCCCTCCACCCCTCTTCCCCCCACATGGCCGCATCCTCCATCAACATGTCTGACATCCGCACCGACTCAGTCAATAGCATCGCCCGCAACCTCGCAGGCAAACAACCACCAGCAAAGACCGCCACCCCCGACCTCTCCGGCATCCTCCATGCACTCAACAGAGTCAACACCCTCCGAACTTCCGTCACCGCCTCTCTCGACGACATAAAGGCCAACATGTCGTCCATATGCGACCGCGTCACCATGATCGAAGGGACCATCCCCTCCATCACGGTCGTCACCACGGCTGCACCTCCCTCCTTCACAGCGCAAACCACTCTATCCTCCACAGCGCAAACCACTCCCTCCTCCATAGCGCAAACCGCTCCCTCCTCCACAGCCGCCTCCAACAACACCCCCCCGCCGACCTCCTCCACTCCTACCACCTCTACCACCACATCCACCAACCCTTCAACCTCCACCACCGTTCCGTTCCCTCCACCTCCTCCCTCATTCGGCGCATCCAGCACACCGCCCCATTCCTCGCTCATCCACGTCACCCCTCTTCCCCCCCCACACTCCCAAACCCTCTCCCAACCCATCAAAGTCACCCCTCTTCCCCCCCCGCACTCCCAAACCCTCTCCCAACCCATCATGACCACCTCCACCATCCCCACCATCCGTCCCACCTATTCCCAAGTCACCTCCGGGSTYTACCCCGCAATGCCACAACTCCCCCCCAACTACCTCCTTGAGGACAACAACCAACTCGACCACACCTGCTACGACACCACCCCCGATAACCTCAGCTTCAACACCCTCGCGCAGATCGTTTACCGTGACGGGGCCCCTGTTCCTTCCGATCCAGCGAAATCATTTCCTTCTCCGCCTTCCCCCACGAGGACGTTTTCCTCTTCCTAACCCAGCTTCATAACTCTTTTCACCTCCACCACATGCCCCTTGCACACTGGCTCCCCATTGCCACCTCCCGCCTCCTCGGCAATGCCGCCAAATGGTGGACGACTGAAGTTAGCAACCGCCAAGCCTCCGGAGGACCACGTCACTCCTTCCTCCAATGGCCCAACCTTCTCACCGCAACCTTCCGCCCCCAGAAAACCATTGACGACTACCTTGAACACTTTTGCCACCTCCGCCAGACTAGTCCCTCGGACCGCTTCGTCCAATACGCCCGCTCCCTTCGCCACCAGCTCCCCTACATCGTCATTCCCGACTTTGCGTTCATCTCCCGCATCAAACGAGTATGCCACAAAGACCTTGCAACCGCCCTCGCCCACRAACCCGRCATGCCCCTTGCTGACCTCCTCTCTCGCATGCTTCACCACTATCGACTCCTCCACCCCCACCACCAGCCCCTGCCCGGCCCCTCCCACACTCGCTTTTTCCACCACATCACCCTCGAAGACACCACCTCCATCACTTCCTCGGACGAGTTCACCACATCTGACCCCATCTTCCGATTCACTCGACTCTTCATCCCTCACTTTCGAGGAACTCAAGGTCGTCCAATTCATGAGAATGGAGCGCAGAGATCGCAGCTCCCGACCACCCTCATCCACCCCACCCTCCCGCCTCAAGAAACTCACCCCCCAGGAGCACACCTACCTCCAAGCAAAAGGGGGTTGCTTCCGTTGTCGCCAATTGGGGCACCAACAAACCAACTGCCCCAACACCGCACGATTCACACACCAATCCGCCTCCATTCGACCCGCAACCTCCGCATCACCGCCCTCGGCACGCACGGGTCCCTCCTCATCATGAACACAGTCCCCAGGACATTGGCCTGACATCGACATCGCGTCTGTCGGCCCACCCTTCTGTGGCGTCCTCCATCCCACCGATGGCCCATCTAGCATCGACAATTCATCTGCCTCCCCCCTCTCTGGTGACGCCCCCTCCACCGAACGACTCCCAGGCGTCGCAAACGCCTCCCACTGCCTCATGCTCCTCTACCCTCCTTCCAAACCCATCCACTATCACCTTCTCCGATGTTGTCGAGGAACAAGCCCGACACGATCGGCTTGTCCGCTTAGGCAACAAACAACGTCGCCTCAACACCATCATCTCCACCGCCAACTCATCTCGTTTCCACCTCAAATTCATCGCTGCCACCCTTGGTGCGTCTACAACTAAGTTTCGGGCCCTCCGCGACGTTGGAGCCACCGGTAACTTCATCACTGACGCGTGTGTCAGCAAAGTTAGTCTTACCTCTACCCGTTATGACTCCCCGATCACGATTCGCCTAGGGGACAAAGACACCGCCGTCGTAGTAGACCGCACGGTTCCCGAGACCACCATGACCGTCGGAACCATCCGCAGTCAGGTCTCGTTTGATGTCATGCACTTGATGTGCGACATCGTCTTAGGAACCTCGTGTCTGGACCGCTACATGCCATACACATTCCACCCCAACTCCTTCGCCTCACCAACCCCCCCGACACAACCATCGACATCCCCTATCTCCCATATCCGACCTCCCAAGGCTCTGTCACCTTGCACCAATTCCTCCACATGGCTCGCCTAAGCCCCGACTCCACCTACTACTGTTTTGTCCTTGATCGCGAAAGTCACGAGGACTTACTCCAGACAGACAAACCCAATCAAGGCCCCCCCGCCATAACCTCAATCCTCGACGAGTTCACCTGACGAATACCCCATCGCCTTCGCAAGCAAGAAGCTCCTTCCCGCGGAAATGAATTACCCCTCCAACGAGAAGGAACTCCTCGCCGTGATTCACGGCCTCACAGTATGCCGCCCGTACCTCGACGGGGAATACTTCACCATCTGCACTGACAACACCATCGTCTCCTCCATCCTTTCCAAGAAAGATATCATTCCACGCCAAGCCCGCTGGCTAGGCTTCCTTGCCCAGTTCACATTCACCATTTGCCATACCCCCGACAAAGGCAACCGCGTTGCAGATGCCCTCTCTCGACGACCCGACCACAAGCCCCCCGAGAAAGTCTACGCTACCATGACTCATATCCAACTCCTTCCATCACTTCATCATCGATACACCCAAGGCTATCTCTCCTGCTCAGACTTCACCACCATTTACAACAAGCTCCGCGATCTTGACCCAGTTCCTGACCACTCCCTCCACAACAACCTCCTCTACATCGATACCAAAGGCACTCGCCAACTTTGCATCCCCGACGCACGAGGCCTCCGTACTCAGCTCTTGGTCGAGCACCACGACGCCAAGACCGCAAGACATCTCGGTTTCCAGAAAACTTTCGACACCATCTCCCACTACTTCTACTGGCCTTCCCTACTCGCCGACGTCAAGGCATACATTCGCTCATGCCCCACGTGTCAAGCTGTCAACCCCTGGAACAGGGCCAAACCCGGCCAATCCCAACTCACAGGTGGCAGTCCATCTCAATGGACTTCGTGTGCGGCCTCCAAAAGACCGACCGTGGGCACGATTGCATCTACGTCATTGTTTGCCGCTTGACCAAACGTGCCCACTTCGTCCCTTGCACGACCTCGCACAGTGCCAAAGACGTCGCCACACTCTTCTTCGACCATGTTGCTCGCCATCACAGCCTCCCCGAGAACATCATCAGTGACTGTGATCCTCGCTTCCTCTCACAATTTTGGAAACACCGCTTCACGACCTACGGAACCACGCTCAAGTATAGCACTGCATTCCACCCATAGACCGATGGACAAACAGAGAAGATGAACGATAAACTCCAAACAATCCTGCGGAAGTATTGTCATCCACACCAACACGATTGGGATCAGTTGCTCACATCCGCCGAGATTGCCTACAACAACGTCGTCTGCCCTTCCACCGGCATGTCCCCATTCTACCTCGACCTGGGCTACCACCCTCACTTGCCCTCTGACTTCTTGCTCCCTTCGCAGCTTAACCCATCCACCCCCTGCCCCTCTCTCAATGAATGGGTAGCAACAATGAACAGACTCCTGAGAGAAGCCTCTGAAGTCGTTGAACAAACCCAAGAACAACAAGCCAACAAGACTAACAAACATAGACGCGACGTGTCATTCAAAGTAGGGGACAAAGTCTGGCTCTTCGCCAAACGCTTTGAACCCGAACACTGCTTGTCCAAGAAACTCTCCAACAAATRGCTCGGTCCCTTCCCCATCATTGAACAAACCTCCCCCGTCAACTACAAACTCCAACTTCCCCCTGACATGAGTCGTGTCCACCCAGTCTTCCATGTCGAGTACATAAAAGAATACCATGAATCCCCGCTCCAGTTCGCCGACCGCCCATATCCTAAACCTCCACCAATCATGCTACCCACAGACCCTGAATTCGTTGTCGAAACCATCATCGACCGACGAACCACTCAGGTATTCGATCAACCGGAACCAATCACTGAATACAAAGTCAAATGGACAGGATACCCCGACGAAGAATCTACATGGGAACCTCTCTCTAATCTTAAGAACGCCATGAAACTTGTCCGCGCCTATGATCGTGCTAATCGTATGTCCTAGATACCTATATAACTATGGCATAAACCCTGCTACAACCTCGCAACCCTGCTCTACACACACCCTTAAACCCAGCCACCCTCCCCTTGACCCTGACTCCTGATGCTTGATCTGCCCTTACCTGCACCTAGCCTTGTCCCATCTATCCTCTCCACTACCTTGTCTCTCTTGTCCAATGCTCGTGAACCTGCGTGACGTCGGCGATAAAGGATCTAATGGCAAGCGCAAGAGGACGATGGCCTGCTGCCTCACTGTTCATGGAGATTATGCAGCTGGTTTGGCCACCATGCTGTTTCATCAGCCGGGATCCCGACTCGCGGACTTACTGGAGCAGCAACTTGTGACATGGATCTTTGCATCAGTCTGCGACTTCCTTGCTTCCAGATCAGACCTCATTACAGGTACCGGACGCACCCTAGCACTTGGACTTTGACACTTGAACTACTACCACGCTTTGTGGACTTCTACCTGTCGCAGCCGCTGAAGGCCGCTTCTGCCACCTACTCCAAAGACCTGATCAAGACCGTTGCAGACCCCCTTTCAAGACACTTGGACACTTTGTTCTTACATGAGATTTTGCTTCCGACTCCTTCGGACACACCAGCCCTTGCATCCTGAACAAATATTTTCATTCTTATTTTTCCTGACTTTGACAACCCTGTGGAACATCATTAGCAGATCCCTGTTTCCCTAACCATTGTTTCCCGTACCCACTAGAACATCGATAGACATCCCCTGTTCCCCTGACCATTGTTTCCCTTACCAAGTAGAACATCAATAGAAGTCCCCTGTTCCCTGATTTCTGTTCCCCCTTAAGCTATAGCAAACCATGCAGTCCCCTTAGTTCATCAGTAGGACAACTCTGTTCCCCGGTACCAAACCCTGTTCCCTCTTACTCCCGCAGCCCATGCCACCCACATTATACCCCTCTTCCCTTTCGAGTTGTTAACCAGTGATTGGCCCCGTCCCGCCCTCACAGATTTCAGCATTGCTTCATGATTTCTGGCAGCCGGGACGTTGCCTTCTAGAGGGAGGGGATAGTGTTATGGACTCCACCAGGGCTCGATCCCTGGTCTATCTTTTTGCTGTTTCGGCTGCATCCCGTTTTCGGCCTGGCACCTTTTTTCCAAACCCCTCCTTTGGTACCGTAGGATTTTGGACAACTGGCGCCATGCTGCAATTTGGGCGCCACTTTCAAATACAGCGTTTTTCAGTTCTTCCCTCGGGGCCTTTGCAGAAATGCCCCTGGTACCGTACATGTCACCGGTACTTGTACCGGCTCCCCGTACGGTACGGGGACCAGTCTCGTACCAGATTGCTGCTGTACCTGTACTCAGTGTGACTTGCTGTTTCGGCATTCGGAATCGAAGACTTCGACTTTGTGCCTTGCCACTGTGTCTGCGTCCGACCCTCAGTCGTGTCGAGTGAGTGAGTGTGTGTGTGTGCTCTCACTCTCTCCCTCTCTCTCTCCCCTCCCTCGGCTCTCCCTCAGCCTCACGCCCGTCACAGAACCCAACCCCAGCTCTATACCGCTGCATCTACTTGGAGTGGCATCAACCAGTGTCCTGCCATGTCCGGTCGGCTCTTCAATCGACAGTCCAGGATGCAGGCCCAATTCCTGGTCCTAGCGAGCTGGCATAAAACACCCTGCTGAGTACCTACCGGTCGCCAGGCCTGACACAGGGATGCCCGAAGAGAAACCACAAGGGACAGGACTACAGAAGGACAAACCGCTCCAGCCCAGCCCAAAACAAAGTGCATCAGGCCTCAAACTCAGCTGCCGGGCCTGAGACTGGCCCAGGACAAGACAAAGTTCAAACTACACACCACAGAGCAGACAAACCCTGGAAGAAACAAAACACACACCGAAAAACACTCCCACTCAGAACCACCTACCTGGGGCCTCAGGTGAGGCCCGAAAGATGGCTGCAGCCCTGGGACCGCCCAAAATGGGATATGTGTGGCCCAGGGCGCATGCTGAGGCCATGCCAGGCTGGAGGGCCTGTGTGGGATCTTTGCATGCAACGTGAACTTTCCCTATGTCCCTGATTATCTTTCAGACTTGTGTGTCCATGAATAACAGAATTAAATGGCACTCAAGATTTTGTTGCCCCCGTGTGCAAGGCCGCAAGTTTAGGCCAGACCTTTCTATGACCTCCACGTGCACAACTGCAAGCTTAGGTCAGGCCCTGCAGAACTCATGGTTTAATCCCATTCAACACGCCAAACATATGACAAATACATACGACACTCACTTACACGAAAAGTCATTCCAAAACAAAGCATAGAAAAGGACCATATGGCATGTTTTTTTCCACTAAAAAATTTAGTAAAAAATGGAAAAAAAATCCGAAACAAATAAAAGACCATGTTTCACCTGATCCTTCAGACAGTTCTTTGCCTGGTCCTCGTAATCAAATGTCACCAGCGCTCTCCCTTGACAAACAGGCTTCAGGTCCGCCTGCCACCAACCAACCCCATCCACACAAACATGCGCCAATTGCAGCATTGAGACAATCAAGTTGTGTGCTGCCTGTGTACACAACATTGCTTACCCAAGAGCAGTTCAAGTTTTCACTTCATCAGTCGCTTGTAAACAATCATAGCCGTGTGAAGCTTCAGTGAAACACTCTGAAGGCCGCAAATGATACCTGTTACACACCTTTTTTCTTCCTTTTTAAAAAATATGGATCCAACTCTATATCCATTATCGGGAGCATCAGTTCAGCTCATATTCCACCTGCAAGCCAAAAGATACATGACATGCCCACTCTTGACATTTCTTCGCGTCACAGCCTGGGGGACCCTGACAGCGTTGATTACTTGTGTGGTCTTGTGTGCTAAAAATAGATTCCACACACGAGAATGTTGCCTTTAAATTTTAAAATAAAAAACAGAAAATCACTGTATCACCCTCGACAAGAGAAGAAAACTTATGCAAAAAAATTTGGGTCACAACAAAGGACTTGATAGAGGCTGAGAACAACTGCAGGTGGAGGAACCAAAGAAATCAACTACACTATCCAGAGAGGGAACGGATCGTAAAGAGACACTTCAACCGGGAGTGACTGGCTGACAGCTACGTGGCTACAATCAAGGACTGGGAAGGTGGCCGCCCCGGCAGAGGCCGAGGACGCGGCAATTTGAAGACACACATCGCATCTAGCCCCGGGCCTGGTGCAACAGCTTTGACAGGCCCATGGTCCCAATATGGCATCTCCGAGTCAGCATTCAACGCRCGCGAGAGATTCCATTATTGCCTTTGGTGCAACAACGATCAGATGCAGGGTTGCCCATTAAAAGGCAAGGGCAGACAGGGAAACTAAGCCCCGCCGAGAGTGACTCGACGACACTCTCGACGCCTTCGGAACCGGTTTCTTCGCGAGTAACCGGCCTTCATTCCGAGGCGCACGCGGAAGTCGATAGTCCTCCTTTTCTACTTTCTTTTGAGGACTATGCTGCCCGGCTTGTTCCTACGCTGGGTACTCAAGCCCAAGGACAAGGAGTGTGTGMGGTTTCTTCTCCGTCCGGCAACGGCGACATATCGTCTTCAAGTGGTTCATCRCGGGATTTGGCACGCGAGTTCAACATAGAGGCATTGGACCCGCTCACGTCTRAGGACTTTGCATGGCTTCCTCTCCCAACCACAGGCTGCTTGCCGGGACCGCAATGCGCAACACTTAGCGCTCATCTCCACACTTACCTTTCCTACTATGCACCACCAACTTCGCCGACGGATGACGAAGTCGCGGTGGGGGACATCCTGGCATATATTACCAAGGTGGCCCGCGAGTTTCGCATGCAGCAGTACGATAACAACAATGCACCGCTCATGTATGTCCGCATCCAGGTTGGGCAAGCGTCCTGCAGCGCTTTGTTGGATAGTGGCGTGACTAGCAACTTCATGAGCCAGTCTTTTATGCAAAGGGCTGGCCTTGGCGCTCAGGTTCGGAGGAAGGCAAACCCGACGGCGATCAAGTTGGCGGATGGTAAGACGCAGCAACTTCTCGACCGTTACATCGAGGCCGTACCGGTCTACTTCGCACCTCATGCAT